TCGGTAAAGATCCAGAGGCTTGGAGCACCACAATCTACCAGGTCGACTTCATTGACATTTCTACGACATTCTACCCAACAACAGCAGAATACACATTCTTTTCCAGTATAACATTTACCAAGATTGGTCATATTCTGGGCCAGAAACAAGTTTTAGCAAAATTCAGAGGATTCAGGTATGTTCTCTGATCTGTGTCAGAGGTCCCCAAGACCACCCTCAGGCCACTGATTCATGAGAAAGTCTCCCATATCTCAAAAAAAAAAAAAAAAAAAAAAAAAACAAAACAAAACTGCCCAGTGCATAGTTATGGTGTCTTGGAGCAAGGGATCACAGAATAAAACCTGTAAAGGCACAGAACAGAGTTCAAGAGGGTCTGGGCTAGACTTCCAGTTGTCTTTTCCCACTGGAGTCCTGTGGCTCATGCTTAGTTTTCCCAGCAGCAGTGTGTGGCGGCACATGTGGAGCCCTGCCAATCAAGGAAGCCCACCCGAGCCGCCCTGGGTGCAGGGATGTTGTTGGGGTCAGTCACAGGGGAAGGCACACTCGGTGAGTTGATTCTCAGTCTCCAGCCCCTCTGGAGGTCAAGCTGGCAGAGCACAGCCCAGTCCACGGTAGTTCACAGGGTCAGCATAAACCTGAGGCCCCAGATAAACAGAGATGTTCCTTTCTATGTTTCTGGGAACATACTATATGTGAAAATTAAAGCTGTGCTAGGGGCGTAGCAGGTAAAGCCACCACCTGCCGTGCCAGCATCCCATATGGGCACCGGTTTGAGTCCAGGCTGCTCCACTTGATCCAGCTCCCTGCTAATTTTCCAGGTCCTTGGGCCTCTGACTCATGTGGGAGACCCAGAAGAAGCTCCTGGCTCCTGGCTTCAGATCAGCCCAGCTCCGGCTGTTGCAGCCATTTGGGAAGTGGACCAGGGGATGGAAGATCTCTCTCTACATCTGCCTCTGCCTCTGCCTCTGCCTCTGCCTCTCTGTAACTCTGCTTTTTTTTTCCCCCAAGATTTATTTATTTATTTGAAAGTCAGGATTACACAGAGAGAGGAGAGGCAGAGAGAGAGAGAGAGAAAGAAAGAGAGAGAGAGAGAGAGAGGTCTTCCATCCACTGGTTTACTCCCCCAATTGGCTGCAATGGCCAGAGCTGCGCCAATCCAAAGCCAGGAGCCAGGAGCTTCTTCTGGGTCTCCCACATGGGTGCAGGGGCCCAAGGACTTGGGCCATCCTGTACTGCTTTCCCAGGCCACAGCAGAGAGCTGGATTGGAAGTGGAGCAGCAAGGTCTCGAACTAACGCCTGTATGGGATGCCGGCACTTCAGGCCAGGGCATTAACCCATTGCACCACAGTGCCAGCCCCTGTAACTCTGCCTTTCAAATAAATAAATAAATCTTTTTAAAAAGCTCTAACAGTTCTGGAAGAATACATAGGATAAAACCTTTGCAACCTTAGGTTAGGCAAATATTTCTTAGATAAAAACCCAGAAGTGGGGGCCAGCATTGTAGTATAGCCACTGCCTTCGATGCCAGCATCCCCTATGGGTGCCAGTAAGAGTCCCAGCTGTTCCACTTCCAATCCAGCTCCCTGCTAATGCACTTGGGAAAGCAGCAGCAGATGGCCCAAGTGCTTGGGCCCCTGCACCCACGTAAGACACCTGGATGAAGCTTCTGGCTCCTGGCTTTGGTCTGCCCAGTCCTAGTCATTTGGGGATTGAAACAGCAGATGGAGGATCTCCTTCTCTCTCTTTCTCTGTTTCTCCCCCTCTATGTAACTCTGCCTTTCAACTATACAAAATAAATCATAAAAAGGAAAAAAAAGCACAGTCCACAAAATAGAACATTGATAAATTTCTCTTCATCAAAATGTAAAGTTAATGATTTTCTAAAAGATATGTTAAGAAAAATAAAAAAAACATGAAGTGAAAGGAAGAATTTGCAGATCATAGACCTGAGGATTTGTATCAAGAATATATAAAGAACTGTCAAAACTCAGCAAGAAGACAACTGTACAAAAATGGGTGAAAGATTTTACTGGGTGAATCTTCAAAGACGACATATAGATAGCAAGTAAACAAATAAAGATTATGGAAATTCAAATCAAAACCACCATATTTCATATCCACAAGGATGTGATAATTAAAAAGGATAAAAAGTGTTGGTGAGTATGTGGAGAAATGAGCCATTAAACATTGCTAATAACAGAGAACATAAAAAGGTGCAGTTTCATTAGAAAGCAATTTGGCAATTTCTTAAAATATTAAAAATAAAGTTACCACCTAATCTACAAGTCGATTCCCAGGTATCTACTTCTGAGAAGAACGCTTGTCCACACACACACACACACACACACACAGAGTTGTCTGTGCTGACACACACAGCTGTCCTCTTCATAATAGTCACAGTGGACACAACCCACAGGTCTGTAACTGGCAAAGGGGTAGAAAAGATATAGCATATCCACACAGCAGTAAAAAGAAATGGAGACCTGGTAGATGCTATGGCATGGATGAACCATTAAAGTATTATGCAAAGTGGACAAGAAAGACCACCTAGCCCATGATTCCATCTGGATGAAGTGTCCCGAAGGTAAACCTACACACAGAAAGTGGGTTAGTGGTTGCCCGAGCTGATAGTGGGAAAAGGGTTAATTTTATTAGTGTAGAAAGGTTCACATGAGGATGATGGAAATGTTCTAAACTTGAATTGTGGTGAATTTATTAAAATTGTTAAATTGCACACATAAAATGGGTGAATTTTATGACATGTAAATTATACCCCAATAGAGCTGTTAAAAATGATACACAGTAATTAGGACGTTGTCGTATTGGCCACAAAAACTGACAAGTAGATCAGTGGAACAGAATGTAGAGCCCAGAAGTGGAGCCACTCAAATGCAGTCAACTGACTTGACAAAGGAGAAAAGAATTCAGTGGAGAAAGGATAGTGCTTTCAATGAATAATGCTGGAACAACTAGACAGCCATGGCGGGGCTGGAGAAATCTAAACACAGACATCGTACCTCTCCCCAGACTCAAAAAGGATCATTGACTTAAAATGTAAAATGCAAAACTTGAAAACTCCTATGAGATAACATAGGAGAAAATCCATGTGACCTTGAGTTTGACAATAAGGTTTAGATACAACACTAAAAGCATGATCCATGAAAGAAAAAAATTGCTAATTTGGAATTTTTAAAAATTTAAGTGCTCTGGGAAAGACTTAAGAGAATGTAAGCAGAAGTCACAGACTTAGGGAAAAGATTTGAAAAATAGTTATCTGTGATAAAGGACTTCATCTGAAATATGCAAAGAACTCTTAAAGCTCAACACTAAAAAAAAGTGATCCATTTGAAAAAAGGACAAAAGATCCGACTGGACACTTCACTAAAGAAAGATTTGAAGGTGGCAAATAAGCATACAAAAAGATGCTCAACATCATATGTCATTGGGAAGTGCAAATTAAAACAATGAGATACCACTGTATACCTATTAGAATGACTAAACAATAACACAGACACCACCAGATGCTGGCAAGGATGTGGAGCAACAAAAATTGTCATCCACTGCTGGCGGGCGTGCACGATGGACCTTGAAAGACAATGTGGCAGATTTTTACAGTGCTGAACTTCCCATTCTTACAAAGCTATTCTAAATAAAAATGTATTTAGCTATTTCTTAGAAACATAAATCTACTCTTACCAAACAACCCGGCAAGTGCACTTCGTGACATTTACCAAATTGATTTGAAAACTTATATCCACAAAAGCTTGGCCCATGAGTGGTTGTTATAGCTTGATTCATAATTACCAAAACTTAGGAGCAACTGAGATACCCTCCAGTAGATATATTAATAAATAGAGTATTATTTAGCAACTGAAAGAAATGAGCTATCAAGCCATGAAAAGACATGAAGGGACCTTAATTGCACATTGCTGAGTGAAAAGAAGCCAGCATGATTCCAGCTGCTTGACTGTCTAGAAGAGAAAAGCAATAGAGACAGCAATGGGATTAGTAGTTGCTGGGGTTCAGGGAGTACTAGGTGGAGCTCGGGGCACTTTTAGGGTGGTGTATCTACTCTGCTGTACCTTGGTGGTGGATACATGATGTGATGCATTTGTCAAAACCCTGAAAATGTATACCACAAAGAATAAACCCTAATGTATGGACTTTAGTAAATAGTAAATAAAACAACAACAAAAGCCCTATCACAATGAAATAGCGCAAGAATATACGGTTTATAGACCTATTTTACCCCAAGCTGCTTAAAAAGTAACAAAATCTTTGGCAGAGCCACTCCTGTGATGAAAGGGCGACCGCTGGGCTCCCAGCATGCAGTCGCGGGCTCCCTGCCGTAGCAGCGGCTTCTCCTCTGTGGCACCTGCTCTATCCCCACCTCTTGTGGTTTCCACAGCCTGCAGGGACTTCTGCTGTTTTCCAAGGGCAACGTGGCTGCAACTGTTACCAATTGGTGCACGTGAGGGGAAGGATTGTTCCCTGGTATGTGTTTGATCCCACCACTTGAGTGGTGTCCACTCTTGAAAATATTAACTTACATCTTGGCTGTGGGTTGGGAGGCCGTTAACTGTCAGATTCGGGCAGCTCCCTTCATCTATCACAGAAGAGCTCAGCTTGTTCGTCTCTAAATGAGCGGGTTGGACTAAGGAATCGCTCTGGCCTCTTCCAATTCCAGGCCTATTCTGTTGCTGTTCTACCTTCTCCCACTGTTCAGCAGAGTGGACCGCGTGTGAGGTGTGCGTCCACACACCACAGGGTGCTTGATGCAGCAGTAGCCATTCTGGGGAGAGAGACGCTCACCGGAGGTCCCCCTGCCGAGTCTCCTTGGTCCTCATCTCAGCCCTGGAATCCCTGTTGTCAAAGAATATCTGCTTCTCTAGTAGCCTGTGAATATCCCAAGACCATCTTCTGTCCTCTGGAGCGAAGTTGCAAAATTAAGCCCTGTTAACAAACCACTCACCCTGTTTGTGTGTTTGCTTGTCTCTAGGACTGTGTTTAGAGAAGCTGCCTATCTCGTCTTCTACCAGTAACCTCCACGTGGACCGGGAGCAGGATGTCATCACCTGTTACGAGAAAGCGGGGGACATCGCCCTCCTGTACCTCCAGGAGATAGAGAGGGTAAGTGAGGGCCATTGTGTTCCAGCTGGTAACGTTTCCCCCCAAGTCAGATTGGGGACAGCTGTGGTCAGCCTCTGGGAAGCCTTCAGCTTGCTGCATCTGGGTACAGAGCGTGACTCAATGCTGAGGAGAGGATGGTGGAGGATGTGGTACCTTGTTAAAAACAAAACAAAACAGGTGCTTCCTTGAAGCACTTGGGCCTCCTCTGAGCAGAGGTGACAGCAGGCATCTGGTGACACCCTCAGCACCCTGGAGCTGGTGTCATTCCTGTTTCACGCAGAATCCGTCCTTGTGTGGACTGTGCGCCAGCCAGTGTCCAGCTGTAGCCTGGGAGGCTTTGCCTCCGTGGGTAAAGCAGAGATCTGAAGACTGCAGCCGGCCTGCTTGGAGCAGGTGTGCTTCTCCGAGGCCATCTGGGGTCATCCTCTTCCAGAGGTCCGTGGTCTGGAAGGCAAAGCTGACAAGAGAGCTGAGACGGAGTGAGCAAGAGACCCTGAGCTCATAGGCAAATGAGGCCAGAAGGCCAGTTGGGTGAGTTAGGGGTGGGCATCTTGTCTGTTTAGAAAGATCCTTATCTTGGTTCTGCTCTTAATTAAGTACTTTTCATTCTCAGCCTTGATGTTTCCATCCACAAAGAGTGTAGTAAGAATTCCTGCTTCATGGAGCTCCTGTGGGGATTATATAAGGTCATGCAAACAAGGCACTTAGCCCAGATTTGAGAACATAGTGCGTTCTTGGTAAATGGTACTTGTTTTTGTTGATACAATACCTCCTGGCAGTGCCTGCTGCTTGCAGACTCTCCTGGAGTTCTAACCAAGGCAGGACACTGACACCAACCCCTTCAGACCCAGAGATGTGAGGTTGTTAGAGGGGATCAGAAGTCCTCAAAATAATGAGAAGTCTTGATTTTTATCAATTTTCTGGGCTCTCTGTTTCCATACAGATTAAAGCAGAGAGAGACTAGCAGAGTGTCCTGCGAGTTTTTGTTCTGTTCTGTCACGGGTCTCTCTGCAGTGTGTTGGCGTGTGCAGTGAGGACCAGAAATGCCTTCTAGGAGGCAGGGGAGCAGAGTGAGGATCCCAGAAGAAGAGGAGGAGAGAGCGGTGGGAGCAGTGTTTGACCTGACCTTAACCACAGCATCTGGGAATCCAGGAAGATATTTGATTGTCTTTAGAAAAACGTTGTTCTGTCACAAAGTTGCTATGACAAGGGCTTTTTCTTGCTGTTAATCAGAATGTGTGATGTGCTCTTTAGGGAAATGAACGTGCAGACTGCTTTCAAAGCCCACGTTACTTCTGCTGAATCCTCCTCATTGGCTGGTGCTTGAGCGTGGACACGTCCATTGTCCCAGCTAAGCTGTTGTAGGTGACTACACAGCCATGGCCACGTAGGGGCCCTTATTCTGCACTTTACTCTCCAAATGTCAGCTGGCTCTAGCAGGTTGGAACTGTCTTCTCATGGCTGGGAGAAGAGGTCATCTGCTGTGTGTCCGTGCTGATGGAGGGTTGGCATATTTGCATGTACTTCTGCTGTATTCATTCCTAACTCCCCATTTGCTAGGAGGTTCTTCAGCCAGACCTTGAAGGAGACTCATATAATCAAAGAATTTGAAAGAAACATGATTTCTATATTAAAAAAAGTAGTTCTGTACATTGATAACAAAAGCTAGCTAGAGACTCTAGTGATTTTTTTTAAGATTTACTTATTTATTTGAAAGGCAGAGTTACAGAGAGAGAGAGAGAGAGAGAGGGAGAGAGGAAGAGATATCTTCCATCCCCTGGTTCACTCCTCAAATGGCTGCAATGACTGGAGTTGGGCCAGACCAAAGCCAGGAGCCTGGAGTTTCATCCCAGTCTCCCACGTGGGTGCAGGGGCCCAAGGACTTGGGCCATCCTCCACTGCTTTCTCAGGCACACTATCAGGGAGCTGGATTGGAAGTGGAGCAGCCAGGACTCGAACTGGCATCCATATGGGAGGCTTAACCCACTATACCACAGTCCCAGCCCCTCCCTGTCTCCTTTAAATATATGTTTTTTGGTTGGGACAAATGAAGGTCCTAGGATGTTAGATCTGAAAAGAAAACTGAAGTCCAGAGAGGGAGAGCCCGGGGGGACACGGGACCTCTGGCCAAAGCTTGCAGTCCAACCCAGCTCTCCCGGCAGCTGGCTCAGTTCCTTCTCCCAGGCATCTTTAACGGGCACAGAGCCTCACTGACAGGAAGTGCTCTAAAAGATTTGACCCTGGCGAGCTGTGGCTTCTAGTAGCACAGGGAGCAGCCTCCTGGCCTGGGGTTCAGTCTCAGCATGTGTAGACTTTCAGGTTTCTGGCTGCTTTTTCAGGATGAGTTTCCTTTAGGGAAAAACCACCTGGGGCCTCCCCAGATCTCAGCATGCTGGGGTGTCAGCGATGAGAGACTGAAAGCAGCAGATCTCCGTTCTGACTGCAGCAGGTACTCGGGAAGTTCTCTGCTGGTCACTCAGGAGTCTGTGTGGAAAGTGGCCCCTCCCTGAGTGTGGTCTGTGGGCCTGGGGAAAGGCCAAGTTTTTTTTTTTTTTTAATTATTATTATTATTATTTTTTTTGACAGGCAGAGTGGACAGTGAGAGAGAGAGAGACAGAGAGAAAGGTCTTCCTTTTGCCGTTGGTTCACCCTCTAATGGCCGCCGCGGCCAGCGCGCTGCGGCCAGCGCACCATGCTGATCCGATGGCAGGAGCCAGGTACTTCTCCTGGTCTCCCATGGGGTGCAGGGCCCAAGCACTTGGGCCATCCTCCACTGCGCTCCCTGGCCACAGCAGAGAGCTGGCCTGGAAGAGGGGCAACCGGGACAGAATCCGGCACCCCGACCGGGACTAGAACCCTGTGTGCCGCCGCCGCAAGGCGGAGGATTAGCCTAGGGAGCTGCGGCGCCGGCCAAGGCCAAGGTTTTTACGTTGTCGTGGGCAGGATAGTTACACGCTGCGCAGAACTTACATGAGGAGCCCCTTTCTTATCGAGAATGTTGAACTCAAGGTGATTTACACTCACTTAAAACAGAAACATTCGAGAAGCAGAAATAAAAGCCTTGCTGTGTGAGCTGCCCCAGGAAGCAGAAACCCCGTGAACTGACCCCACGCTTGTGCTGCCGCCCGGAGCTCTTCCCGGCCGTTCCCCAGCAGGCACTGCTGCGTGCCGGGCCTTCTGGCGGGAGGATGTGATGTGTTGGTCCTGGCGGGTGGTTCCCCGCACTGGCGAGAATCAACTTTGGGAACACCTTGGAGGCCAGTCTGGAGTGTCACTTCCAGTGCTCTACACGGCTGGAACCCCTGGGTTTCTTTAACAGCGGGTGCGGGCAGTGGTCAGTGACGCTGAGAGACTCTAACAACACTGAGGTCTCTGATGCTGTGCTTGTGTGTTCCCTGCCGTGCGTGCCTGAGCGTCCCCTCATGTCAGCTGACCTCAGCTGTGAGAGGCAGCAGAGCGTGGAGGAAAGTGGCCACTGCTGGCAGAGTCCCGGCCCTGCCACCGCTCAGCTGTGGCGCTTGGGGCAGGCTACTCAACCTGTCTGGGGCTCAAGAGCCGCATCTCTACAATAGTGCTGCTGGTTGCAGTGTGGCTGTTGTGAGGATAAAGCAGTTAACTGCTGTCCTTCGCAGCAAGCTGTTGGCACGCGTCAGCATGGTGTCTCTTCTTCTGTCACCCAGCCACGGAATCTCTTCTTCCTCTTCTTCTTCTTCTTTTTTTTTTTTTTTTGACAGGCAGAGTTAGTGAGAGAGAGAGAGAGAGAGACAGAGAGGAGAGACAAAGAGAAAGGTCTTCCTTTTTCCGTTGGTTCACCCCCCCAAATGGCTGCCATGGCCAGTGCGCTGTGCCGATCCGAAGCCAGGAGCCAGGTGCTTCCTCCTGGTCTCCCATTCGGGTGCAGGCGCCCAAGCGCTTGGGCCATCCTCCACTGCACTCCCGGGCCACAGCAGAGAGCTGGACTGGAAGAGGAGCAACCGGGACAGAATCCGATGCCCCGACCAGGACTAGAACCTGGGGTGCCAGCGCCGCAGGTGGAGGATTAGCCTAGTGAGCCGTGGCGCTGGCTTCGGAATCTCTTCTAACCTTAGAATATTTCAGACATTCAGATACATTTCTGGACTGTACAGACCTGCTGTTTTACTAGGAATGTTCGAGAATTTTCAGAGCAGTGTTTCAGGAAAGCTTGGTTTTTCTCTTGTACTAAAGCTCCTGGAACCGCATTTTGCCTGGAGTCTTCCCATCTGGGCTCTGGACTTGGGCGTAGCCCTGTTCGCCCTTGGCCCAGTCGTTTCCACGTGCCCCAGCTGCCTGACTTCACAGCGGGCTGCTTCTGCATGGCCTGAGTCCGTGGGCGCGAGAACCAGCGTCTGCTGAGGTTGGCGTGGGTCCTGGCAGGCCGCCAGCAGCTTGCCACGAGCTCTGCTTCCCCCTGGTTCCAAACACAGAATCAGGGCCAAAGAAAATGTGAACACATGGAGGCCGTGTGCAGGAAATACCTGTGTAGTGTTGTCCTTATTCCCTTAGACTCACAGAGACAAAGACTAATAGTAATAATGCTTCCACTGTTTGTTTTCTGAAGGAGAATAAAAGATGCATCTAAAATTGTGCACATCGGATGATTTAATCAAGCAAATCAAATTAGAGCCGAAAGAACCAGAGATGAGGTGGGTGGCCTTGATCAGTTTAGCTTAAGTGATGGCATCATGCCAGCAGTGAGGAGAAGTTTCTTCTCATGGTACAGTGATGGGAATAACGATGACTTCATCCCTGCTCTCCTAACACGAGCCCAGCGTTTGGCGAGTGCGGCCGACCTGCCTCTGTCCTTTGCGGGCAGCAGCCAGCTGGTCACGGCTTTCTTGAGCCGGGCAGTGCCAGGGTGGAACTTTACCTTCTGCTGACCGCTCATTTCTTTACCAACTGGTTTAGAAAACACGGTCAAGTGAAATTAAGGGGCGTCCACCACTGTCCCCCGGCTGCTTCAGTGCTCAGCTTTCAAGCAG